GAGTTGACATTTTAAGCGGGGGCTTTAAGAAGCCTCGTTTAGCAGGCGGCATTTGCACAGTTTTCAGGAAGGCCAGGAAGTGAGCCATGAGGATGTCTTTGGGGCAGTGGTCCTCAGTGGGTCATTTTGCACCGTCCCCCCCCAGGGGGACATTTGACAATTTCTAGTGATATTTGTGGTTGGTACGAAAGTCCCAATGCGTTTGGTTCAGGGGTACTCCTGGCATCTAGCGGGTGGAGGCCAGGATCCTCTAAACATCCTACGGCGCACAGGACAGCCTGCGCAACAAAGGGTTATCTGGCCCAGAATGCCAGTGGTGTCACTGTTGAGAAACCCTGCTCTAAGGGAGGAATGCTCCAGACGTTAAAAATGTTTATTCTTACAACCACCCTGTGAAGCAGGTATTATCACGTCCATTTTACAGGTAAGGGAACTGAGGCTCAGAGAGACTAAGTGATTCCCCCAGGACACACAGCTGAGCAATGGCTTAAGCCCTCCCTCTATCACCGTACCCAGAGATACAAGACATTCCTGCCTGTAAGCCTCTTAGCAGTCCTTGGGGTCCAGCCTAAAGGACACCTCCTCCAAGAAGCCTCCCCTGATCACTTGCAGTTGGAAGTGGTCTCTCCCTCATGTAAATCCCAGTACATTTGTGGTATGTTCTGGAACATAGTGTTTCTACCCGGTGTCTAAGACAGCCTAGAACAGCAGGATGTTTAGGGGGTGGGTGAAAAACCAGCTCTGCCTCTAAGCAGCTGTGTGAACTTGGGCAAGTTTCTAACTCCTCTGATTCTCAGCTTCTGCATCTGTAAAATGGGGTTAACCATACTCCTTTTGCAGGAATGTTGGGAATTAATGAGAGCAGAAGTCTCAGTGCTAAACACAGGGTTTAATATACAGTAGGTGCTCAATAAAAAAAAAGCTCTGATACTTTGTGGGGGTGTTTTACCTGCCCCTCAGGCTGGGAGCCTTCTGAGGGCAGTGACAGTCCTTGCTCATCCCACTGTGCCCCAGAGCACCCGGCACAGGGCAAGAGGGAGAGACCAGCGTTTGTTGGTTGACTGAATAAACATGGTGATCTGACGGCATTTATCGGGATTGAGGTGCACCCTCCAACCTCAGCACCAGCACCTGTGGGAGACAGAACTCCAGGTTAAGGACAAGAGGGCTTTGTGTATATTCAAAAGTGATTCAAGCCAGTGTTGGCTGAATCAGGAAGTGGATGGATGGATGGATGGATGGATGCAGGGTAGGTGAGCGGGCTGGTGCGGGATGGATGGGTGTGTGAGATGAAGGGCGTGGAGGATGGACAGGTGGGTAGTGGGAGTGGGTGTGGGTAGATGGATGGATGGGGGATGAGCAGGGGAGGGGTGGGAGGTAGAGAGGCGGGTGGGGGGCACGGGTAGGAGATTGACAGAAGGATGGGTGGATGGATGAGAGGATAGAGAGATGCATTAAAGAGGAATAAGTAGATTGAGACATAATTTCATTCAATGAATATTTATCGAGTAAGCCACCTTATACTTGATGCTGAGAAACACTGTGACGCCAAGACAAATAAGGTCCCTGCCCTCCTGACGCTCGTATGACAGATAATAGGCGGCTGGTTGCATGAGGCACTATCTCCATTTATAGAAAAGAAAACTTCAACTCCGAGAAGGCACAGGCGCCGCCCCCACCCCCGTCCTCAGGTTAGTTACACAAACTTCCAGGCAGGACCAAGAACTGAGTCTGGCCAAGAGCATTCAGGCACCATGGCAGAGAGTGTGGACTTTGGGGACAGGGTGACTTTGTGGCTATCTAAAGCCCTGGAGGTGGGCAGTGGCCTTCCCCACGCTGGATATGGGGCCCACCGAATGGACCTTCCCTTCTACCCACCAGCAGCCTCCTTTTTGTCATCCTATGTCAGGTCACTCAGGGGCACCTTTTTTTCTGGGGCTTCCCCAGGAAGACATCTGCCAGGTCAGTTTAGGGGACTGCCACCCGGCTCCACTCAACGGAGCGTGGCGAGGCTGCAGCTGAGTCATTCTGAGGTCCCACTGGGAAAGAAGGGGGTGACCAGCATGTATAGTGACTTTCATATCCTGGTTCCTCGGAGATAAAGGACAGCCTGTGACTCAGGGAGGGTCCTGCCCACCCCAGGAGCTACTCGTGCTGCCCCTCAGTGACCCAGCCCAGCCCTGCAGGCCCCAAATCACACTTCCCACGGGCGGGTGGGCCAAGCCTAAGCAGGAATGATGGGAGGGGAGGCAGCAGATTCTAGAAAGTCTGTGTGTGTCTGTATTGAGACGGTGGAGAATGTTTGCACGGCCACATACGTGTAAGCATTTGTGCATGAACAATGTGTTCTTTAGTCCCAGGGATCAGCTGGAGAAGATCACCTTAACTCCACTGCCCTGGAAGTCCCAGCCTCTAGATGTTCACAAACCCCTCTGGGGTCTTGCTTTTGCCAGACATAACCTTGACCCACATCTGAAATTCAAGCTCTTCCTTATTTTTTATACCCATCCTCCCTGAGCTTACACCAAGCAGAAAAAATTTTGCTGGAGATTTTAGGGGAAGAGGGAAGGGAGAAATGCAATGCAAATGGCTTCAAATGTTTATATCAAATAATTGGGTGTAGTCATCCTCGTCCTGCACTGGGGTTTCTCTCTGGCTCCACGTGGTAGCTGGCCAGTGTATGCCCCCGCCCACCCCAGCCATGCGCCCATCTCCAGCCCTCCCCTGTCCTCCTCTTGCCCGCGAACTCCAAATGCCTCTTCTTCTCGTAAGCAGGATGATTCAGTGCCTTCCAGCAACCGCTCTGGAACTCATTCTGGCTCTTACTGGTAGAACAAAAGATTGTCTGCTCAGCAGATGCCACCTTTCTTAGAAGGCAGTTGCACTTACCTGTTTAAAAAAGTGTATTATCTGCTACATGCGCCTAGTCCTGTGTATGCCTCTATGTGGTTTTGTGTGCGGGGTATGTGTATGTGCCACTGTGTTTGTTGACGTGTGTGCACACGTATGCACGTGCCACGGGGTGGGCACGTGAGATGTGGGTGGACAGAGGTCTGGGTGTGTCTCGGAGGTCGTGGAAATCCATGAACGTGAAACAGCCCCAGAAGAATGAACGGGGTGTACCTGGGGTGTGGGGCAGAGGCTCAGCAGGTGACTTACTGGGGTAAAGGTGGGGGTGGGGGATGGGCAGGGCCACAGGCCCGGAGGCAACAGGAGCCAGGCCTGGTAGGAGAACCTGTTCCATCACACGCCGGCTGTGTGACCTCAGGCAGATCCCAGTCATTCTCAGACTCGTCTCTCCTACAGATCAACTGCGGCAACTTAATTTTAGAAACATTTTGTATGTGCCAGGCAAAAAGAGCTTTATAAATAAGAATTCATTTTCTTTCATCCTTACAACAAGCCGATGAGGAAGATACTATTTTTGTCCCTATTTTGCAGGTGGGGGAACCGCAGCATAGAGAAGTGTGGAGGGGCAGGGGAGCCGGGTCAAGGGCCCGGGTGCAGGGCAGTGGCTCTGCTTGGGGGGTGTGGCCGGGACGAGCTGGCGTGGCGCTGGGAGCCAGATGCCCACGGACAGCCCTGCTGACCGGGGCCTCTGTGTACGCAGGACAACACCTCGGAGTGACGAAATGCAGCATCACGTGCAACAAGATGACCTCGGAGTTACCCGTGAATTTACTCATCGGCTATCAACAAAACCAGGAATCCTGTGGCAAACGCGCCATCATGTAGGTACCGCGCTCGAGGCTTGTCGAATGCCCACCAGACCCTTGGGACAGTCCCAGGGCTCTGCTACTCCACGTCCGTACCCACCGCTCCCAGCCTGGGCTGCCAGACAAAGTCTTCAGCAAACGCTCCTCTTGCTCCCGGCCTGCAGGCCACCTCACTGACCTTACTTCTGTGCCACGTGGCAAAGGTGGGGGGCGGCTTTCTGAATGGCCCTGGCCTGTGGCCTGGAGCAGCCACTGAGGGTGATGGCTCCTCCGGGGCGGAAGCACATTTTCCACAGCACTGGAACCCGCTAGAGCTCACGGGGTGGCTCAGCATGGTGGTTGCACGGTGCAGGCCCCAGACTCCAACAGATACGGGCAAATCCCGGCTTCACCTCTCACCTGCCGGGGGGCCCTGATCACGCTGCTTACCCTGTGCGCCTTGGTTTCCTTGTCTGTAAAATGGGTAGCTAGGAGGATGAAGGGACACAGCATAACTAAAGTGCTTGGCAGGCTGCTGGCAACGGCAGCCCCAGAGATCATCCTTTCCCTTTGACAGATGAGGAAATGGCCCCTCTGTGACTTTGGGGAGTGATTACGCTGAGCCACTTTCCCCCTGCCTGCTGGGGAGCTCTGGCTATCTGACTTTTGGGCCCTAAAGCAGCCTTAGCCGGGCCCAGGGGCCTGGCAGCAGGAAAGGCCCGACGCTTTCTAGGCTGAGCTAAAGGAAGTCCAGCGCTTCCTCTCCCGACTGTGCAGCTTCTTAAGAGGGGCAAGGGACAGGGCGTGCTCCTGCCTGGCCTCTCCACTCACAGCCAAGGCTCGCTCGCCCCACGTGCCCTCTGGATGAAGGGGAAGTGGGAGGCGGGGCAGGGGTCGCCATGCCCGAGAGGGCCTGCACGATCCCACGCCGGCCTCCTGGAGCCAGGTGCGTTGCCTTTACCTCCTTGAGCCTCTGTTTCCTCATCTGTGAAATGAGAATGAGTGGGGTGACTGCCTTGTAGGATGGGGGTGAGGTTTAAACACAGGAAGAATGCCAAGCACGGGCCATGGCGTGGAGCGAGGGCCCCAGTCAGCTCTGAGCTGTGGTCTAGGTGGTGAAACAGCCACACGCAGCTTCAGAGGAAGTTCAAGATTTGGACGGCGCTCAGCGTCCCACGGGGCCGCCATAGATGATATATGGCTCTAGCTCCCTAGGGGCCCCCTCTGCCCGAGAACATGCACTAGGGGAGGAGGGAGGGGCCCAGAGTGCAGCCCGCAGCCATGAAACAGGGAGAGAGGGAACAGGACTTTGCGACATAGCGTCCTTTCTGGAGTGCAGGGGCCCACCTTGGAGCTCACCTGTCACACACCTGGCATCAGAGGACACCTGTGAAGTGCCCTCCCAAGCAGGAGACTCACAGCCCAGAGCCCCCTGCCTTAATGGTAACAATATTATCATTAACATTATTATTATTTCCAGCTATGACTGATCCACTCCCAGCCAGGTGCTTTACATAATTTGCCTTTTTCACAATAACACAGAAGTAGGGTCAGCTTGGCCCCTTTTGCCTGGGACTTTCCCGGTTTTACAGTGGAAAGTCCCTCATCCTGAGAACCCCCTCCATCCCGGTTTTTCTAGGACATTGGTCACCCTCCAAATGGCAGGCATTGCTATCTCCCTTTCTCAGGCGAGGCCCCCGCGGCTCAGGAGGTTGAGTTGCTAGTGAGAGGGACAGCAGGATTTCCGGCCAGGTCTGTGCCCTCGCTGAGCATTTGTGCTGGGCCCCCGCACCGCCCCAGCCTGGGTTGCTGGTACCTGAGCATCACTGGGTCCCCGTCTTCCTCCCTTGCAGCTTGGAGACCAAGCGACACAGGCGTTTCTGCGCCGACCCAAAGGAGAAATGGGTCCAAGAAGCCATGAAGCATCTAGACCAAGCATCTAGCCAGGCTGCTGCTCTGACTGGAAACGGCGGCACATTCGAGAAGCAAATTGGCGCGGCTGAGCCCAGGACCACCCCGGGCCCCAGGGGAATGTACGAGGCCGCAGCCTCAGAGCCCGAAGCCACCGGGGAAAGCCGCGGTCTGGAGATGACTCCGTCTTCCCAGGAGGCGCACAGGGCTTTGGGGACTTCCCCTGAGCTGCCAATGGGAGTGTCTGGTTCCTCAGTGACCAGGTTCCCCCCAACTTCAAAAGCTCGGGATGGAGGCCCCGAGGACACCGAAATGTCTACGCTGGCTGCCGTCTCCACTGCCACAGCCTGGCAGAGTTCCACAGCCTCCCCGCCCGGGACTGGCCTCTGGGCCGAGGAGAAGACCTCTGAGGCCCCCTCCACCCAGGCCTCACCCACCCCGGCCCCCTCCGCTCAGACCCCCGCCACCCAGGTCCCCTCCACCCAGGCCCCCACCACCTGGGCCCCCACCCTTTCCCACCCGGCCCTGGAGGAGAACGCTGGGGCTGAAGGCCAAGCTGTGGGCACGGAGGGCCAGAGCCCCCGGCCGGAGAACTCTCTAGGGCCCGAGGAGATGGATCGTGTTCCAGCTCACACGGATGCTTTCCGGGACTGGGAGCCTGGCAGCATGGCCCACGTTTCTGTGGTCCCTGTGTCTTCTGAAGTGACCCCCAGCAGGGAGCCAGTGGCCTCAGGCAGCTGGGCCCCCAAGGCGGAGGAGCCGGTCCACGCCACGGTGGACCCGCAGAGGCTGAGTGTCCTTATCACTCCTGCCCCTGACCCCCAGGCGGCCACGCGGAGGCAGGCGGTGGGGCTGCTGGCCTTCCTTGGCTTGCTCTTCTGCCTGGGGGTGGCCATGTTCACCTACCAGAGCCTCCAGGGCTGCCCTCGCAAGGTGGCGGGGGAGATGGTGGAGAGCCTTCGCTATGTCCCCCGGAGCTGTGGCAGCAACTCCTATGTCCTGGTGCCAGTGTGAGCTGCCCCCCTGCCTGCATCCAGCCATTTGACTCAGACAGCTGCCTGGGGTCCCCTGTCTTCATACTCCCCCTCACCCAAGGGCCTGGCCTGAGCTCGGGTGACCAGAGTGGGGAGGTGTGGTCCTCTGGGTATGAACTGCTCCAAGCTCCCGGGCACACCACAGGAGGCCAGCCTTGGCCGTTCTCGGCCTATGGGGACAGGGGGCGTGGCCTCCCAGCTCAACCCAAATCTAAAAACACTCCTCTGCTGCTGGCTGGTCAGAGGTTCCCTTTGACACTGTCCCTGCCCCAGGGGACGATTATTTATTGAATGCCCAGCCCCCGATCCACACCTCCCTGTGGGCACCATGTCATCCCGTCTCACAAACGAGCATCAAGCCAGGCCCCTTTGCCCACTCCCTCTGACCCCATCGTGTCTCTTGGTCCTGCTGCAGTCGCCAGTCGTCCCGGCCACCTGCGGTGCTATCTCCCCCCATCCTCTGTACAGCCCACGCCCCAACTGGTGACGTGTCTTTTCTTGCATGAAGCTGGTGTGGTGCTCCCAGGGACGGCCCTGCCCTCGGTTAGGCATCGTGGCAAGGGGAGATGAAGCTGTCTGGTGGCTTCGATAACTGGTGGCTTTCCTCCTGGGTCCGTGCTGTGTAGTGAAGGAACGCTGACTCTGAGCCTGAAGGCTGGATTCTGGTCCCGGGTCCCGCGCTGGCCCACCGAGCTAATCCCACCTGTGAAAGGAAACAAGGATGGCAGATAACGTGGCATTACCCGTACCCCTGACATCACGAACTGATCCCAAGACCGTTTTCCCAGACCCTGGATGCAGCCCACCATCTTTATTGGCAAAGCACTTCAGACTGTCACTGCCAGCAGGTCAGATTGGTCTGTGGACCCTGTGACCGGGAGGGCCTGCAAGGCAGTGGGTTGACAGTCCAGGTCCTGCCCTGTGGGTCCCCAAATGGGAGTGGGTGGAGCCGAGACCAGCTCTGAAGGCCCTTCCCAGTCTTAGCCACTGAGACAGCCTGAGCTCTGCCCCGCCAGGAGGACCAAGGGACAGAGGCACAGGTGAGGGAGGGGGGAGGGCTACAAGGACATGTGAAAGGAGCCAGGGAAGAGCTTCAGGAGCAGCTGCACTCCCCACGCTGCTGCAGGGACTTGTCCAGGCGCCGGGCCTCCTGTCCCCTGCGGTCCCCTGCGCCCCGGGTCCTGTCCTGCGGCCTGGGTTCCCCTTGCACCTCTCTCACTCCCTGAAAACACTATTCTCTGCACTCCAAGACCTTCTTCCCTGACCTCTGCCCTCGCTGCCCGCAGGGCCAGGGATTTCCACGTTGTTTTCCACGAGCCCATGTTTAGGAGGCGGAGGGGCTGCAGGAGAGGGGAAGTTGTGGGCACAGAGTCAGGGGTTCCCTTTCTTGGCTGCTGAAGACGCAGGCGTGCCCGGATGGGGCTGGAGCTGCCTGAGCTGAGCGGCGCCCCACAGTTGGAGCTGGGCCTTCAGGCCTCGCCCCTCGGGGTCCCTGGCGGCGGCTTTCCCCAAGGGTGACCCTTCCCCTCCCCCCGAGGTGCCAGTGACACACTCCTTCGCAGACGGGTGCTCTAAGGAAGAAGACACAGCTCTGATCCATGGAGACAGGAAGTCGCGCCGCCCTGCCCATCTGGCCTCCTACCCACCCCTGCTGGGCATGGCGCAGTGTATTTGGGAAGCTCAGGGCCCGGTCCAAGTGGAATCACTCTGATGGCTTGGGGAGGGTGGGAGCAGGTCTGAATGCACTTTGTTCTGGCTCCTCCAGGCTGGGAGAGCCCTGAAGGGATGGGACACCTGGCGACAGGCTCCCTTCCTTTGTGCGGAAGCTGCTGGGGGCAGCTGGTCCCCCTTCCATGGACTTTGTGAGTTCCTCTGAGCAGGACAGGGACAAGGATGATCTGGGAAGGCTTTGGAAAGAGTTAGGTCGATCCTTGTACTTTTCCAACCCTCATCACTAATGTCAGTGCCATTTTGTATTTTACTAATAAAATTTAAAAGTCTTGTGAATCAAATAAAGGTGGTTTCTCTGGGACAGGCCCAGCAACCAGGGCCTTGGGGTGGGGGCAAAAAAAGGGAGGGGCCAACACACCCTCTGTCAGCCCTGGAGAGCCCTGTCTC